TATAAACATTTCAAAAAAAATTTAAAATATATAAACAACCTATTTTAACTCCTGTCTCTTATACACATCTAGATGTGTATAAGAGACAGGAGAGTGGAAAGCGACAGTGGTACCCTCTACTTCGGTATTGCAAAAAAAAATATTTCAAATAAAAAAAATTCAATAAAATTAAATTTAAAAAAATTAAAATTAAAAAAAAAAAATAGAAATTTAAAAAAATGTAATTAAAAAATAAGACGAAAAAGCAAAGAAACTCGTCCCAGTAAATAGCTGTGATCATACCATTTAACATAGTAATCGGATCAGTACTTTGGTATGCCATGCCAAATATTTATTTTTATTTGACGGCTGTCGATACTGTGGCACAGCTGGTTCAAAATAGACACACACACGCATACTTGAATGCTGTATAAATTTAGTTTGATTAGTGCGGTTTGGTAAAAATAAAGTGCTGTCGCAGGTGGAGTGTCGAATACGAGGTGCTTAACTGGTTGCAGAATTTTGTTTGAGCTTTGTTTAATTGATCTTTTTAACAGCAGCTACAACCGATAGCCTAATGAGACGTTTTACAGCCGTTTTTTGTATACCTTGGGGTTTCACTGAACGCCAGATTCGATTTAAAGATGAAATAATGAACTAACAATCACTGAGTTTCATCTATAGGGCTTAACTTAGAAGACAAAAATAGGAATAGGTAAAGACAATGCGATCGATGCAACTTTTTAAAGAGTTTTCAACTAACCAATTCGTTACTAGTCAGCTAACCTATTTACTGCCTGATCTTTTGTAGACACAGAAGTGCTCTTGGAAGATACATATGTATGTACATACATACATACATGCAGAGAAAATTTGAGTCAAACGGGAGCAATACTATTCATTCATTTTAAGATTTTCTCACAAAATTTTAGTTATAATAAAGTAAATTTTATAAGTTTTGATTGAAATGTGATAGTTTGTTCAATTAGTATTGCTATGTTTGATCGCCGAAGAAAATAATACGAAATTCCGAGTTTTAGGCACTTCAAGATGAGGTGTGCTTAGAGTATGAAATTGTATAAGAATTCATACAAGTAAAAATAATCTATAAAAATTTAAATTTAACCCATTGGATGACAGATGGAAAACAGTTAAAAATTAAGGATAAATTGGAGAACCTGTTGAAATCTATATGAATGAGTAGAGTGATCTATAGATTGGTTACCAGACAAAAACAAAATTTTTTGAGAGAAAACCTTCAGTATTTGGTTACATTTATCAAATACAGTCGATAATTACATATTATTAAGTTATATATAATGTGATCTTGTATATAATCTAACGTCTGAATTAAAGTGAATCATGTTCAACCTTTAGAAGAAGCACACAAATAGACTCGACAGAATAGTCTTACTATAGGATGGGATAACTTTTGAAGGGGTATACGGAATGAAGAAATTTCTGCCTATGTAACCGAAAAAACTGTAATTTTACTCGGTAATGTACTGTTGAATCGACAAAATTGATAAAAAAATATATGCAGATGAAGATATGAGTTATAGCAGCTTTATGAGGTCTCTAGGAAGAGTGTCGAATTCCCAGTTTAAAGGTTAAAACTTTCCATAAATTTATCCTGAAGAGGATAATAATAAGTTTGGCACGAAATGTAGATCCTCTAAGATAAAAACAATTTAATTGATGAGCTTTACGAGCTGCGTTGATTTAGTTATGACCCACTGTATATATGTACATGGACGTCGCTTTTGAGATATCGAAAAAAATTTTACAGATGTCTTTCTCTCTGCCATACAAATTGACCGCTCAAAATCAAGTTCTTGTATGGGAACCTTTTTTATTTGACAAGTTAGATTCCCGAAATTTGTCATAAATTTTTCTCTGTAGCAGATCTACAACCTATGATTATATTGTCAAGATCGGACTACTATAGCATATAGCTGTCATACAAACTAACCGATCAAAATCAATATAAACATCTTTTTATACCCCTTAATGCTTCAAAAAATGCAACTGTGAAGGGAATTACAGTTTTATCTTGCTTTTATAATAAAAATATATGTAGCCGTATGTGTGTGTGCGCTTAAGTGCCTCAATAGGTCACCAGCCGCCGATGTGTGCTCTGAGTCAGCGCTGCGCTCAACGCTTAAACACCGTGTATTTATTTATTTATAAGGGTATTCCTCAAAATTTCACAATTGCTGTTTACAAAAATACAAACACACAGACATACATATACATGTTCAATCAAACGCAAACATACTGTGAGACATGTGAGTTTAAAAATGCCGTCAAACCCCATAATTTTATATGTGTGTCTGTATAAATTTATATGACTATGTGTGTATGTATGAATGTAGCAACGAAGCAGACGAAAATTACGACAAGCAAAACAACAACAACAAAAACAAATACAAATGCGCACAAACAGTGATGCATTTTGGGTGAGAGCAAACACAAAAAAAAAAATCAAATGAAAACCTAAAAATTATATTTAAAAAAAATTGAAAAAACGTAGCATACATATTTACATTTGCATATATCTTACATATGTGCGTTTGTATGTATATTCATATATATGTATGTGCGTTTTCTCGCTCGCTTGTATTGGTTTCTTAATAAAAATGACCTTTGCATGTTAATTGCTAGCATCTGTGGTTGTTGTTATTGTTTTTTATTGTTGTTGTGTTTGGTTTCTGGTACACATACATATGTTTATGCGTGTCACAGACAACGCACGAATTTAATATGCATGCTTTCAATCTTGATTGCTGCCACCACTCTGCTGTTGTTGTTATTAGTATGGTTGTTGTTGTATTTTTTTATGACGACTGTTGCTGCACATGTGCTGCTGCTTTTTATCAGTCAGTCTGTGCGTTTATTTGGCGTCTCGTACACATATGTATGTATATGTTTGAGCATGCGTGTTTGTATGTACATATGTGCAACTGTCTGCTGGACTATCTAGTCGCTGTCTGGGGTCTTCGCTCCGATTTATCTCGAGTTTTCACACAATTTCGAGTTTCCTCGTTTTTTGTTTTTGCTACGCTTTTGGTGAACACATTTGGTTTAGTAAGTGTTTGTATGTTGCTATTGTTGTATGCTTTAGCTTGACTTTATAATTATGTACATATGTATGTGTTTAAATGCTACTTACGCAGTCTTGCAGCGTTTGGAATCGCCTGCCTCCACTTTGTTGTAATGCTATTTTAGTGTGTTTGTTGTTGTTGTTGCTTGCGCTGTAATTATCTCTTGTCAATGCAGGCTTTCTGCGGCGGTGCGCTTGATTTAACCGTTCGCGTTGTCGGCGTGTAGCAACTTTTATTGCTTTTCTTATTGCAATTGTTGCAGTTATTTGCTTATTGTTGTTGTTGTTGCCGCGTAGCGACGTGACGTATTCAATTTGCTGTTATTAAGCGTGCGCTTGCTTGTCGTTGCCGTTGCCTCTAGACTTGTCGGACGATCTTGCCAAGCTACTGCTGGATTGCCTTGTCTGCCTTGTGTGGCCTGCCCTGGCACAACAACAATAATAGCCACAGCAAGTTGTACAACGGTAAGTGTCGCGTCGGCGACTACGGCTGCGCTGCCGTTCGACAGACATCCATAGACATTGGCAGGTATGCTGGCGCCGTCTTTAATGCCACGAATATTTCATGCTGTTTACCAATGAGACTAGCTACAAGCAATCCAACACAAGCAACAACAACACTACAATAACAGCAATGACATGCAACTATTTAGCTCAACTTGTCTTAAGTGTATGCTGTTGTCTCGTTGTTGTTGCGGCTTCCTTTTCAGGTTCTCGGTGATCTTCTGTCGCCTGTTGGCTGGCGCTCAGCTTGTGACTGCTTTTGCTCAGTGGCTACACACGCAGCTAGCTATATATGCTCACATGCATTTATGCTTGGATATGTGTGTGTGTGTTTGTATCTGCTAGATACTTTATTTTTATTATTAGTAGCTACGGCTTGCACGTACGGCGCTTGCTTATTAATGACTTTGCTGCTGTTGTTGTAATACCGTTTTGTTGTTATTTTTGTTGTTGTTGCATTTTGTACTCGTCTGTGGCTTCCTGGAGGTTGCTCTTATTGCTTGCCACTACTTGAACGTCGGACAATGTGTCGCCGCTGCTGACGTCGTCGTCACATATCTTTTTGTGTAACTCAAGTGTCTTCGTTTACATATACGTACACACACACGCGCGCTCAGTGTTACTTAAGTGCAATGTGTTGGTAGGGTATTCCTCGACCTTTCGCTCAAGTATCTTTATGATCACTTTGGTTTTTGTTGTTTTTGATAAAGGTTTTGTTATTTTTCGTCCACTTCGTTTGCTTTTACTGCGGCTATGGCTTTGGCTTTATTTGCTTACAGTCACACACAGCGTAAATTCGTAGAACTCAATTAAACACGGCGACACAGTTAAGAACCTTCGGTGAGGAGACACTCTTGTTTTGATGAGTAACGAATTTTGGACTGTCTAATCGCCAGTTGAGGGTTGCGCATGGGTAAGGAGGATCACTTGCGAAGCGAGGATCACTGGCAGATCACTTTAACTATCGGTTTAGACTATTGGCGTAGTTAGCATTTTCTAAAACGTTTATTTGAAAATCAACGGAAAATCAATTGGCAGTGTTGCCCGATCGTGTCACTCAACACATGCTGTATAAATACATACATACAAATGTACTATATATGTACATATATTTTTGCACTATTTTAATGATTTGCGCGCTACAAAATTGCACTTCAAAGCGGGCGCTGTTGATTTATGAATACTAAAATTTACAAAAGAAAAATATTTTTTTTCCACATGTGGAGCATGGCGCGTATTTTCGTATAATTTCACTTAGTTGCAAGGAACGCGCAATTTTTACATTTTTCCACCAATAAAGCGCTTTCCCTTGCAGAAAATCAAAAAATTCTAATTTTTAGAAATATTAAATATTTAAAATTTTTTTTTCCAATTTCACCAAGCGCGTTCTGTACACGCGATTACTACACTTGTTGCAGCCAATAAGCTAGCGTTACGAAATTAATACACATTTCCTGCGCGCGCGATAAAAATTGAAAATCGCTAGGCGCTTACAGTCGCCAATTAACGCGAACGCGCGCTTGCCTTAAGTAAGTATTTTTTAAAAGCGCGCAAATGATCGTGCGATCTCAAACGTCTGCTCAACAACTAACTAGCTAAGTCTAGCGTGTATCTAAATATGTTTGCGCTTAGCATACGGAATCGCGCGATCTTGACGTATGCAACGTTACGTTTAAACTGAAATGTTTTCTATTTGCTTCACACAACACACAGCAATAATAACAGTGCATGCGCCGCAGTGAGCGCTGAACGTCAGCGCCGACATTGACGATGCGAGCGCTTTGCACCAAGTGACTACCGAGTGCCGCGCGCCTGCACACAAACATACATGCATATGTACATATGCCATATGCGAGCGCTGCAGCAACAACATTTATGCCGCTTACGTCTACTTCAGGCGGGCGCGCCAACAACACACAAGTGTACTGATAGTGCGTCGTCGGCTGAGTCGTGGTCGTGGTCGTCGCTTGCAATGATAACAATAACAACACATGTGTAACAAGATGCTGAATAACAGCTATGCGCGGGCATAATAAAAATGGGAAAAGCAGACAATCGGAAAGAAAAAAAAAAAACATAAAAGAAAAAAACACCAGCGCTTAAGTGCATAACAACAACAAAGGCGAACAAGTCTGACTTTATGCTAGCGGTGGTGTGACTGGTGAGTGTGTGGCCCACAGTCGCAACGTTTGAAACCCGCACGCACACACATACACATTGGAGACAATAACCCAAAGCAAACAGCAATACACAGAAAATAAAAATAAAAAGTACAACAACAAGCAGTTTTGACTTCGACGAACATACGGCAAGCAGACACAACGACAGCCCGACTGCGGACAGACGACGCGGCATGCACGTTGAGCGGGCGGGTTAATTGAACGCGCTGCCAGTCAGACGCGTTGCCAGTTAGACTGCCGGGCCAAGGCAGCGCGCGCTCATAGGTCGTGTAAACACTTTCTAGCTACTATCTACTGGCTCAATTACTACCACTTCTTCTGCGTGCGGCTTTGGCAGGGTATTCTTCTTCACACTATGCGCTGGCAATCACCACCACTTGACTTGTGCGACGCTACTGTCGCCAGTCTGTCGCGGTCGACGTCGATCTCTGACTTTTTGATAACTTTTGTTCTTTTGCTTGGCTGCGCAATGCAACAGATGATCTTCGGTCGCTCGATGGCATTGTGGTTGACTTGTACCCTCGTTTTTGTTTTATTTTTTCTTTTTTTCTGATTGCTGTGTGTTCTGCTTCTTTTTCATTGCGATTGCACACGCAAGATCGGACGATCGTGCTGCTTGTATGTCGTCACAAGCAAGCGCGCTGAATTCTTGCGTTCTTTTCGCTGCTCTTCGTTTTGCGTTGATCTTCGGTTCAATTGCACCTGTGAGCGCGCAAAAAAAAAAAAAAAAAAAAAATTACAAATAAATTCGCAAACACAAAACAAAAAAACGAATGTTTTTTTCACACTAACGTTCGTGCCTACGACGCGTTCATCAAACCGCTCGAAATGCACAGCGGATGTTGGATGGACAAAAAAAGAATGCCAAATCAGTTTTACAGAAATACACCAGATGACGTTACAACAAATAAGTATAGAAGTACAATAATGAACGACAAGAACGTTACGAAAATGCCAGCGCTTTCAGTAGCCACAACGAACTTGGCGACGATCACTTTATATGCCGACTGCTGAAATGCCACAAGTTCGCAAGAACTGAAGACTCATAGACGTCGCGACCACAGCGACATAGTTCTGGTTGTCTATGCGCACGACCATTGCGATCAGTGCACGACCAACGTAGCGTCGAGTCGTCGCCCCAAAGCAATAATATCTCGGTTGACTCGCTGACTTGTTGGCTGGCTGACGAACTGGCTGTTGATGGTGGCTAAGCGCTAAACAACAGCACATACCGCGAACGAGTTTAACATATGACAACACAATACAATACGAACAACTGCTAGAACTAGCAACAATGACAGCACCGACATGACAGGCAACAAAGAATAAACGATAAGACAACCGCACGGCGACAAAAACAATTCAAGCAATGCGCTGATATGTGTTTGGCGTGCACAAGTATAAAGGGGGGATCGAACGACAAAGGCTGATAATAAACGAATATGACAAAGTGAAGAATAAAGTGGTTGTTGAAAACGAAAACGCTTTGCTTACGTAGCGCAATAAGGCGGAGCAAAAGTAGATAGAGTATTACATATACACTAGTGGATCCGGCCACGCGTTGCTGTGATATACATTTTATACTATTATTCATATCATAAGCTATTCCATACAGTGAAGATGTTATTTACAAAAAATAAATGCGAAAACTTTTTTTTCGGTATAAGAATCCAAGGGATTGTACTTGAGATTTAATTTTGGATAACTTCATACAAATAAAATTCATTGGAAAAAATAACAAATTTAAGGCTGCTTTCTCTCCAGTTAATAGAGCTTTCACTATATTTTTACTTATGAATGTTTTTCACCGTCCTATCTTCTAAGTTGGATCGATCTGGATACAGTGTGCTAAATTTTACTAAAATCAGTTCAGTAGTTTGGGAGTTCATCGCGGACAAACAACGTGACACGTGATTTTTATATTATATATGTGTAAAGATATGTGTACATATATATAAACATATAAAAATTATCGAAAGCCATCTGAGTAGTCTATGAGCTCAAGATTAAGACTGTACGACTATAAATTGTTCAAAGTAGACATTTTCTTGGCGATATCTGTTAGTTACTTTAATATCTTAAGTGTTTATAAGGTCAAGAGTAATAATATACGAGTGTAAATTGTTCAGTATAGTAGAATCATTAATCGAGACCTCCTATAGTTACTCCAAGATCTGAATGATCTATGATAACGATATCAACACTGTATGAGTATGAATTGTTCAAAGTGGAAACATTTGTGGAGATCCCTTGTAGAAGTTATTCTACGGTTTGAAACGACTATGACATCAAGATTGAGACTGTACGAGTATGACTTGTTCAAAATGAAAACATTCTTGGAGTGATTTGTTCATTTGTCCAGGATCTGAAGAGTTTATGAGATCAAGAGAGAGAGATCGTGGATTAAGATAAAGAGTGTACAAGTATTAATTGTTTGCAATAAAAAATATTTTTGAAGCGATCCTTTATATTCTAGAATCAGAAAAGTCTATGAGATCGAGATTAAGACATACAGTCTTAAACTTAATACATTGTTCAAAGAGGAAACTTTCGTGGAGAAATTTCTCAGTTATTCCAGAGTCTTACAAGTATAGAAGATCAAGATTAAGATCATACGAGTATAAATTGTTCAAAGGAGAAATATTCTTGGAGAAATATCTTAGTAATTTCAGGAAGTTTGAACGTATATGAATATAATTATTAAGGTAGAAATGATAGATTCTAAGGAAATTTGCTGATTGGGTTACTAATTTGACAATATTTGGACAATTCCGATCTAGCAACGGATTTAGTAAACAAATTAAGAAATGTTTTTTTTAAGAAACTATTAATTGGATATGATTTTACCAAATTGAGCTGGTAGCGAATTAAACGAGACTTGCTGAAGAATTTGCCATTAAAAGACAAAATAAAAAAGGGTAATCCATTTCTAGGTTTCCTACTATTTTAAAGAAAAAACAAAGAAACTTCAAAATTGAACTGGGCAAATTTATTATCATTTGAATGTTTATATTCATTCTTTTTTATTTATTTTTTGAAAATTATCTCTATCAAAAATTGGGCACGGATAAGTCTCAGTTTCGATGACTCGTTCGAGCATTTCGTCTGGAAACTAGCGAGTGAAACGCGTGATTTTTTTTTGCTCCAAGGCCTGAATCGAAACGGCGTCTCTACATACACTTTTGACTTAACATATCGCCACATTAGAAAGTCGAACGATGTTATATCACACGATCTTGGTCCAAAACGGGAAATTACGTGCACATCGTAATAAGTGTGTCTAACAAAGCCAAAATATAATTGCTAAGGGGATTAGCGATCAATATACATACATACATACATGATTTTCTTAGAGATCTCAATCAAAATATTATTTTCAATCTCAGTATATGTATGTTAGTTTAAGGTAGTTCATAAAACAAAAATCTATGAGCTAATAGCAAAATTATTTGCTGAACTGTTTGATGCCAAGTAAAGTGCGAAGCGATCATTGATAAAAAGTGTTCTAATACAAATACATAAATACATCTGTATGTATGTACATATACACATAGCCTAATTCAATCAGTGACCGATTTCACACAGCTAGCAGGCAAGCTACAAACTCAATGATCTATTAAATTCACAATTCGAGAAATCAATTTGAACAACGAAATGCTCAACGTCTAAGTAAACAACAGACCAATCAACCGAAACGGTGTTGTTTAAGTACAACTATACAGCCACTGTGAGCAATGCTAAGCGAGTAGCAAAATGTATGAATTTTAACGAATGCAAATTGAAAACCACACATACACACTTCAAAAACAACAATAATAAGGAGTCTAGAACACAACTTATACAACATAAAGTAGCGAATGCAAAGAATAGCAGCGCAAAAATACCAAAGCGAATGTAATCACAAATCAAATGGCAAAAAAAAACATTAACAAACGGAGGAGCGAGTGAACGATCGCGTCCAACAGTCGAAAGATCGAACGATCCAGCAAGCAAGCAAGCAACCCACAATTATGCATAACAATATAATAAAAATACGAAACACACACACACACACACGTATATGTTACGAAAAAGGCATGAAATAATTGAAGTGATCGTCGCCACACGCTCGCCCCCACTCGCGTTCACCCAATCAAGCGCACGATTACTCAGCAAGAAATCAGCAGCAATCAGAAACACCACAGCGGCAGCAGCTGTGTGAACCAACGACGCGTCGCTCTTAAGAAACAAGTGAGACGCCGCGCCGATCATCAACTAAACGCCGATCGTCAATGATCGCGCGGTGCGCGCTTCTGTTCAACCCAGCGCATTGCTTTTATTTTCGTTGCCATTTAGCTGGTTTGGCGTTGGAATGGAGCATTAAGACGGCGGCGCGGTGTTATACGGAGCATTGTCGGTTGCTGATCGTTGACGGTGTTAGGAAGTGGCGCACTCGCCGCCGCCACAAAATGTTGCTGCCATACGTGTGCGCCAATTGTATGCGCATGTGTGTGTGTATAAACAAACAACTGTATTTGATTGAATGCAAACATTTATATG